CGCACATGCAGCGCGCGCTGCAGCTGCTGGCGCTGCAGGCGCTGCGGCTGCTGGAGGCCCGCGCCGAGGCGGCGCTGCGGGTCCTGGCGCACGGCCCCGCGCCACCCGCGCTGCTCGACGACCTCTTCCAGGGCCTGGACATCTACAACCGCGTGGCGGCCGAGCTGGCGCCGCAGGCGGGCGCCGCGCCGCAGCCCTTCCCTGCGCTGCAGCCCTTCCCCGCGCCGCGCGTGCTGGCCCTGCTAGCGGCCAAGCGCGGCCGGCTGGCGGCGCGGCGCCTGCAGCGGCTGCTGTGGCCACGTGGAGCAGCGCTGCAGCCCGTGGTGCCCTGGACAGAGGCTGCGGCGCAGGCAGCACCGCGGGGCGTCCCCGAGGAGCTGCACGCGATGTGCCACGAGGAGCAGCAGGTCGCGCAGCGCGTGCTGGGCGCGCTGGTGGCCACGGCCGGCAGCCTGTGGCAGCCCGCACGGGCGCCGGGCGGCTGCAAGGCCGTGCGCTGGCTGGACGGGTGCCACGCGGCGGCCGGCGCCGCGTTGGCCACGCAGTACGTGCCGCTGTACTGGGAGGCGGCGGGCGCCGCGCTGCGCCGTGCTGTGGAGGCACCAGCAACTGGTGGCACCGCGGCGGCCGCGGGGCCCGTGCAGGAGCTGGCCCAGGCGCTGGCACACGGTAGGTGCAGGGTGGGACGGTGGCGGGGCCGGGGTTCTGGCAGCCCCTCACCCTGCGCCCCCGCAGCCCAAGTGCCCCCCGCCTGCGAGGAGGAGCTGCGGCGGCTCTGCCTGCGCCTGTTCTGCTGCAGCGTCTGTGCCGCCTGGGACCAGGGTGAGTGCCGGCTGCTGCAGCACCGCGGGGCTGCATGGACCCACCGGCAGGGTGGCGGGATGGATGGGGCTGCCGGAGGGAGACGGCAGCGGGAATACGGTGGGATGGATGGGGCTGCGGGATGCAGCTGGCAATGGGAGCACAGCAAGAAGGATGGGGCTGCAGGAGGGAGCCGTGGCAGGTCCAGAAGGGCTCCAGGATGGTGTGTGCCATGGGAGAGCAGGGTGCTCCCTGAGGGCTCCGGGACGCAGCCGCGGGTCTGGACGGGCTCCGGGAGCAGCAGCTCCACGTGGCTCTGGGCTGGCACCACTCACTCCTGCCCGTGTTTCCCACAGGCTTCACGCGGGCGCTGGGCTCGGCACTGTCGGACAAGTGCAGCGCGGAAGCAGAGGCGCCGCAGGGCGGGACCGCGGCGGTGGCGCAGAGCAGGACGGCGCGGCTGCTGCAGCAGCTCTACCCCGCGCTGGCCTTCGCCCTGCGCCGCCTGCAGCCGCAGCCCGACGCGACTGACGGTGAGCACCCCGTGCCCCCCGTGTACCCCATGGCCCCATGGCCACGGTGGCAGCGTCGCTCTGTCCCCACCAGCTCCCCCCGGAATCCTGGGCCCCCCTGGACCGCAGCTGCAGCTGCTGGGCCGCTGTGTGGCCACAGTGCAGGCGGCCGGCGCCTGGCTCACGGGCAAAGCCTACCAGTACCTGGCGGCCTGGGCCCTGCGCCCCTTCCTGCTCGTCACGCAGGGCGACCTGCAGGCAAGTGCGCGGCGCGCGGGGCCGAGCGGGGCCGAGCGCGCCCGGCCTCACCGCGCTGCCCCTGCAGCTGCTGAGGGCCGAGACGGACGAGCTGGCGGCGCTGGTGGCCACGGCATTCCCGGCGCCGGGGCCCCACGAGCTGCTCGCGCACCAGGAGCAGCAGCTTTGCCAGCAGGTGCACGTGGCGGCCGCCGGCATCCAGGTAGAGACGTGCAGAGCGCAGCGCGGCGCAGCGGGCGCATGGCTGTGCCGCCACCGTGCGCGCTCTGCCCGCAGCGCTTCTCGGCCGACGTGCTGCGGCTCTTCTGCACCGACTGCAAGCGCATGGCGGCCGAGATCTTCGAGCAGACCATGCCGCTGGGCAAGCACTGGCGCCTGGGCCTGCGCCCCGGTATGTGGCGGGTGGCAGCGGCGCCGAGCCCCGCGCACGGCCCCGGTGCAGCCGCACGGTACTGAGGCGGCGCCGCTGCCGCAGAGCTGCCCAGCAGCCCGAGCGAGTACGCGGCGGCCGCGGCGCACATGGTGCTGGGGCAGGTGCTGCAGGGCGCCCAGCTGCTGCCGCGCGACGCGCAGGCGCCCACGCTAGCGCGCGTCACCACCGCCTTCGCCGAGGCCTGGATGGACCACATCCTCGCGCGGAAGATCAAGTTCAGGTGCCGCTCGGGGGGCGGCGGCGGCGGGGCCGCGGGGGGCGGCCGCGCTGAGCCTGTCCCTGCAGCCTGCAGGGAGCCCTGCAGCTGCAGCAGGACTTCGCGCTGCTGCGGGAGCTGCTGCAGTCGGAGCGCTACGGGCTGGCGCCCGAGAGCCGGCGCGCGCTGCTCTCGCTGCGCGTCTTCCAGCAGATGGACGGCGCCATCCTGTGCCTGCTGCAGCAGCCGGCGGGCGCCGCGGCGCTGCCCGCGCACACGTGGCAGTCGCTGCGCCGCTGCTGTGAGTGCCGGGGGCCGGGGCGCTGCAGCACCGCGGCCGGTCCCGGTGCCACCTCACGCCGCCTCCCGTCCGCAGGCTCGACGGCCGGTGCGCGTGCACGGGACCTCGGCAGCGGCAGCCTGGACAGCCTGCGCAGCGCGGCGGGCGGCGCGGGGGGGCCGCCGTGCGCCGGCCCCCAGCCCTACGTGTGCGGCAGCCAGCAGCAGTGGCTGGCGCTGCGGCTGCACGGCCCGCGGCGCTGGCGCGTGCCCGGCCTGCCCTGCGTGGCCCGCGCCCCCGAGCCGTGAGCCCTGGGCAAATAAAGCGGTGCCCGTCCTGGCTCCCGGCTCCTCCTTGGCTCTGCCGCAGGCTCCAGGCAATCTCTTCCCGGTGCCACTTCCTGCAGGCTGCTCCTGCTTCCCACAGGCTATTCCCATACACAGTGTCAGTTCCCACAGGCCATTCCCAGCGCTGGTCCCAGTTCCCACAGGCTGTTCTTAGTTCCAGTTGACACAGCAATTCCAAGTCTCCATCTCATTACCTGCAGGCTTTTCCCGCGAGTCTTTCCCAGTTCCAGTCCACGTTCCCACAGCCAGATCCCAGTCCCAGTTCCCATCGGCTGTTCCAATCCCTTGTTCCTGTTCCTTGTTCCCGATTCCTGTTCCCACGGGGTATTCCCAGTCCTCATTCCTGTGTGCTGTTCCTCCTCCTTGCCATTCCCAGTGCCAATCCCTGTTCCCCATCCTGATGCTGGTCCTTCCTCACACATGCTGTTCCCAGCCCCATTGCCTGTCCCCATTCCCGTGGGCTGTTCCTGGTGCCAGTCCCTGTTCCCGCAGGCTGTTCCTGATCCCGGCACTGGTTCCTGTGGGCTCCTCCCCATCTTCATTCCCACAGGCTGTTCCTGGTGCCGGTTCCTGCAGGGTATTCCCGGTATCAGTTCCTGTGGACCGTGTGTGCACATTCCCCATCTCAGTGCCGGTTCCCGTGGGCTGATCCCGATCCCGGTGCCAGTTCCCGTGGGCTGATCCCAATCCTGGTCCCCATGGACCGATCCCGATCCCCTGTGGACCGTGTGTGCACATTCCCCATCTCGGTGCCGATTCCTGTGGGCTGATCCCGGTGCCGATTCCCCTGGGCTGATCCCGATCCCGGTGCCCGTTCCCACGGGCTGTTCCCGTACGCACAGACGCCGTTGCTGCACGAAACGCAGCCAAACGGCAGCGGCGGCGGCTGCCCCGGCCCGGCCTGACCGAGCTCCCGCCGCCGCCAGCGGCCCCCGCGGCGGCGCCTCCCCGGTACCGGTGCCGGTGCCGGTGTCGGTGCCGGTGCGGGGGGACTACGGCTCCCATGATGCTGCCGCCGCCGGTCACTTCCTCCGCGCGGCGGGGCGGGGTCGGGCCGAGCCGCGCG